CACACAGGTAAGGAGCCATATGAATGTAGCAAATGTGGGAAATCCTTCGGCTTCAGATCCTCCTTCAACCAGTATGAGTGGATTCACACAGGTACAAACCTGTGCGTGTAATGAATGTGGGAGGGCTTTTCAGCAAGGTATCCACCTCACTCAGAACCTATGAATCCACACTGGACTGTGGCAAGACCTTCAGTCATAGCTCATCTCTAACCAAACGGCACAGAATCAACACTGGCCAGAAGCCCTGTGGATGCATGAGTATAGGAAAGCCTACCCCGTTATACCATTGATTCAGAATCACATAACCCACATAGGAAAAGAGCCCCTATGACTGCAGCCAATGTAAGAAAGCCTTCAGTCAGAGCACACTCCTGACTGAGCACTGGAGGATTCATACTGGAGAGAGGCCCTTTGGATGCAAAGAGTATGGGAAAGCTTTCAGTCATAACTCTTCTGCATGAGCAGACACACACAAGAGAGCAGCCCTCTGAGTGCGGTGACTATGGCAATGGCAAGGCCTTCAGCCACAGCTCGTCCCTAACAAAACAGCAGCAGGTCCATACTGAGGGAAGGTTCTATGAATACAATGAATGTGGCAGGGCTTTCGGCCAACTTGCTCCCCTCACTCAGCATCAGAGGAGTCACACAGGAGAGAAGCCCGATGAATATAGTGAGTGTGCTAGAACACTCAGCCAAAGTTTCCTTCTCGTAGAACACCAGAGAATTCACACCAAGGAAAAGACTTACTGGTACAATAAGTGTGGGAAATCCTTCACTCATCACTCAGCCAGCATGAAAGGACACACACTGGGGGAAAGCCCTATCTGTATTAGGATTGTAGCAAGGCCTTCAGGCAGGGCACCCATCTTCCTCAGCACCAGAAGATCCACACAGAAGAGAAGCTGTGTGAGTGCAGACACTGTGGCAAAGCCTTCACGCACAGCCCTTCTCTTACCAAACACCAGAGAACTCATACTGTGTAGACCTACTCCACATGGGGAAGCCTTAAGCCAGCCCATCCAGTACTAGAGGCACCATTATGATTCTCATGAGAGCTAAACATGCATCAGCGTTTGTGTCCCACACTCTCCTCAGAGGTCTCAGAAATGACAGGGGCCATCAAGCCCAAAGCTGTTCCTGGATCCAAACAGTAAGTGTGGACACCATCAACACTGAGGACCCTCAACTTGAATGCTCATGAATGGAGTCTAGTTTCTATTAAGAAGAAAGGGAACAAGCACGGGTCTGTGATAGCTTTGTCTTCATCTGCATTCAAAGATTCACCATAGTCCAAATCAGAGCTCTTCAAAGTGGTAAGAAATGTAAGAGAACTAAATGAAGTCAGAATTTGTTGTTACTACACATGGAATTTCTATGAATACTTACACTGTCTCAGCACACAGCTGATTTTTTTTTTAAGTAACAGTCAGTGCCACAGACTTCAGTTCCATTGTCCAAAATAAACTAGGCATGTTTTTATCTTTTTATTTTTAAGTTGAGCTTTTGGGGCAGAGGGGGAGGGGGGAGGACCAAACCTGGGCCTTGAGCTTGTTAGACAAGCTGTCTACCACTAAACTAAGTCAAGTCCCAACCCCCTTTAGGCTATCTTAATAATATTATAGTAAATTAATGTGCAATAGGATTTAAAGGCTTTGTATAAGACTATTTCAGATTTAGAACTACCTACTTACTGTGGAGCCTCACAGATTCTTAGGTGACTTCGCTCTGTTCTAAAATTTTTTTGCAGAACACATGGGTGTTAGAAATGAAGGTGTTGGTGTTTTACAAAAAAAAAAAAATTTATTCAGTTGTTATGCTACCATCTTATGAACAATTGTCCTTCACATTGGAACCCTGTGTTCTCTAAAATTTCTTTTTCAGAAAATGAACAAACTAATCCTTTCCTGAAGTGATTTTTCATTGATTTTTTTTTATCTCAATGTCCAGCAACCTTTTGGTTTTGTTATTATTTTGGCATTTGTTTTTGAGACAAGATCTCAGGTAGCCCAGGATAACCTTGAACTTGGCTGTGTAGCCTAGGCTGACCTTAAATTCTTGATGTTCCAACTTTTGTCTTCTAATTGCTGGGAGTACATCACCACATGTGGTAAACTTTTGCTTCTACATACAACTGAAAAACTCTTGTTTTAATATTTAACTTCAACACTTTTATTTTTCTATTTAACCTGGAAGCTCACAATATTTTATTGAACCCCAATCCAAAAATGGTTTTCTAAAGCCACAAACTATAATTGGCGACTTGTCAATTTGTTTAAAAGAATATTGGCTGAGTTTGGTCCTCAGTTATCAATAGTATTTATACCAGATGATTTTATTTTAATCACGATGCTGAGATATAAATTTCTAACTATTCTGAAGTTTCTCTTGGAGTAGGACATGTTTAGATTCCCAACACTGTTCTTTGGTATGCTTGTGGGAATACCTTTCTGGAATTGTATAGTTTTAAAAGTAGGATGTGGTGGCTCATACCAGTAATCCTAGCATTAGGGAAGTTGAGACAAGAGTATTGCCAAGTTTAAGGCCAGTTTGGGTTATATAGTGTAACCCCATCTCAAAAACCAAGAAGGCTGGAAATGTTGCTCAGTGGTATGTATTGCCTTCCCTACCTTGGACAAGGCCCAACTTGATCCCCGAAATAGGAAGAAAAAAAAATAGGAAGAAAAAAAAAAGAGCTACATGTGTAATCTATGCAAATGAAGATGTAATGAACCCATTTTTTTTTTAAAGATTTATTTATTTATTTTATTTATGAGTACACTGTAGCTGTCTTCAGACACACCAGAAGAGGGCATCCAATCTCATTACGGATGGCTGTGAGCCACCATGTGGTTGCTGGGATTTGAACTCAGGACCTCTGGAAGAGCAGTCAGTGCTCTTAACCGCTGAGCCATCTCTCCAGCCCCGAACCCATTGTTTTAAATGCTAACCTACGTTGTTTTAAATGTAACTACACACACACACACACACACACACACACACACACACACAGTCTCAAAGGCTGACACTTGATAAACACCTATCATCCCAGCACTGAAAGCAGACAGGAGGATCACAAACTCAAGGTCAGCATGGGCTACATAGGAAGAATCTCAGCCTCAAAAATATAAAATCATTTAAATATTAAAACTAGCCTAGTTGGTGGCCTATAATCCCAGCACTCGGACGCTGAGACAGGAGGATCAGGAATTCCAGGTCATCCACAGTTATTTTGCAGGTTGGCGGCAAGGCTGAGCTTTAAGACCCTGTCTCAGAAAACTACACAAAAAATAACTAAGCAAAAACCCAAACCCACATACCAACAAAAAATCTTCTCAAGAAGTGAGTACAATTAGTTTAATACTTACCCTTCCATGCTCCGGGTTACAATTCTAACCCACGCAAGTCGTAACTGTTCAGTGTGTATAAGCTGTCATTGAAATCTAATGTGCCAGTCACCTGCAGCTTATCAGCTCATCACAGCTACATTTCAGAAGCTAACTGGACACATGTAGCCACCATGCCAGACACAGAAATTCAATAGCTGGTCCTTTGTTCAACTCTCCTGACTTTCTTTGTCTCATGACTCAGCCCTTCCCTACTTCCTTGGGTGGCTACAAATAGATATATAGGACAGACCAGTTCAAGTGACTTAATGGGCTCTTGGACATAAATCTAGTTGAAAGATACATACTATTTGAGAAATCCTAGTAACAAAGACAAGTTACAAAGGGACCATGTGTTTGTAGAATGCTGGAGACAACTGATAAACATGGAGGGAAAGTCACTTTGTAACCTTCATAGCAAGGGCTTGATTTAGGCAACTGTCAATGAATGATAAATACAGGGCTAGAATTTTGATTAAGAGTAGAATACTTACCTTATCACAAAATTATCTCTCCACATATTGCCTGAACACTCAATACAGCTGAGGGAATCAGGTATCATAACAGGGGGCACATTGGCATTCCACACCCTCAAGACACAGGAGCAAGTGGGCACACATGCAAAGCACAGGTACACTGGGTAAAATGTTAGTCACAACAGGTCTGAGTAAGGAATCCACCAATATCTTTTATACTGTTTTGTGCCTTTCCCGGAAGCCAGCTCTCCCACTAGTTCGTTTACCCCAAAGAACCTGGAGGTAGAGTACCAGGATGTAGCACAGGAAAATCTATGGCAATGGGGGAAAATAGGGTGACACGTCACTACTTGTAATAAGTTAGGCAAACACATTTAGACTTGTTTTTACCAGAAGAAAACTTAAATCGGCAGAGAGAAGCACGTAAATATGCAGTGCCAGGATCCTTACAGGTGATGAGGCCATCTGATCAATTTTCTAAGACAGTGGTTCTCAACCTTGCTAATGCTGTGACCCTTTAATACACTTCATGTTGTGGTGACCCCCCCCAACCATACAACTCTCATTGCTACTTCATAACTGTAATTTTGCTATTTTTGTGAATCATAATGTAGATATCTGATAATAATGTAGATATCTGATACGCAGGATATCAGATATGTGGCCCCCACAAGTTGAGAATCACTGTTCTGAGGCTTTATGAATGGAGTGATTTGCGTCTTCTCCCAGGTAAAGGGGAATAGGCTTCTCCACATGTTCCAAGAATCCCATAGAAAGAAAGCTACAGCTGGGCAGTGGTGGTGCATGCCTTTAATCCCAGCACTTGGGAGGAAGAGATAATCGTATTTCTGAGTTCGAGGCCAGTCTGGTCTACAGAGTGAGTTCCAGGACAGCCAGGGCTACACAGAGAAACCCTGTCTCGGAAAAAACAAAAATGAAGAAAGGAAGGAAGGGAGGGAGGGAGGGAGGGAGGGAGGGAGGGAGGGAGGGAGGGAGGCAGGGAGGCAGAGACAGAGAGAGAGACAGAGAGAGAAGCAAGCAAGCAACAACAGCAGGGATAGTGTCTGGATCCCAGACTCACTCACTGTAGGGAGGAACATGTCCCATCGCAGCTGCACAATCACAAAAGAATGAGCTCTAATATGAATGAAGAAATAAATACTTTATTATGGTAAGCCTCTGATTTGGGGGTTACACCAACTGCCTGCTCAAACACTGACAGAAAAAGACACCCTTTCTGTGCCTGAAGGGCAATTACATTTACAGTCAGGCAACAGAAACAATATTGTAATCTTAAGTTAAAAGCAAAACCACAAGATCACCTATGTAGGCCACATTTGGTTCTCTCAGCTCAGATACAGATCGTTCCTCCAACCTGTATGCTTGTACCCCTTAACAAACACATTTAATGTGGTAGCCAGCTCTCAGCTACTCAGTGGAGAAGTTTCACAAAACAATACTTGCCTTTACTACATGATGGATTCTGATCTACTTTTATTCCACTTCATTGCTTTGTAATACCAGTGGCCATCCACTGACTGGACCTCACAATTCACTAATGGGCTGAAACCCAGTCTGAAATCGCATAGTTTGTGATATTTGTAAGCCATTCCATATATGAAGTCATGACTTGAAGTAAGAAACAGCTTTTGCTCTTAAGTATTGAGAAGTAAACCCGGCATCACATACTTACAAAAAGGCCAGAATAGATGGCAAGGACTATGTGTGAACAAACAGGTAGCTCAAGGAGAAGCAACTGAGGCAAGGAGGGCTCAAGAAAGTGCCAATAGATCACATACTTTAAGGCTACTCAACACTTTGTACACAATGTCAAATGACCAGAGTATATGTGCTATTAAAATACTACAGAAATGGCGTCTTCCCTCACATCTGGTGGTTTACAGACCAAAGTGTGTTTCTAAGATGAGGGCCCTGCCCCTTTCCAGCTGTTTTCAGCACGTTAGCATTCAGAAAATAAACACAGATGTGCCTGTAGAAATACCACAAGAATCCACTACCACACATGAGCCTTAAGGTCACTCATGCTACAACTGCCATGTCATGGGACAGTCATAGCAGAGTTGTCTTACACCTCAGGTTGTATAAAGAAAACCACCCACATAGTAGAAGCCACCAATCCTCCCACCAGTGAGTTTTGCTTCTGACAGGGAAGGACTCTGGGTGTGGCTCTGTTTTGTTTTTTGGCATGTGACTCTTGTAGTGCTTGGCCACAACCAAGCTGACCTGGAAGGGTTCCTAGCAGCTCTGGCTCACGTAGCATGTCTCACTGCCATGACTCTTGTGATGCTCCATGAGGTTTGAGATCCATGCAAAGGCCTCACCACATTCACTGCATGTGTAGGGCTTCCCTTGAGATGCATCAAACTCATCAGCTGCAGAGCATCCCCCAGCAGAAGTTCCTGGATCCTGCCCAGAATTATGACCATCCACATGAAGCACCTTCCCTGCATCAAATGGTAGCTGGTAGCCGCTGGTGCTGGGAAGACACTCAGAGTCCTCTTCATCCTCATCGTCTGGATGGGGCCTCTTTGTCCCAGTGCCTTGACGTGGCCTATCCTTGTCCTGGGCTGACTCCTGGATGACTGATTGCCTCTGGGGACTGGTAGGGCTTGAACCCTCATCCTCAGAATCCAGAGCCTTCTGAGGCTGCTGTTCCTCCTCCAGGGCAGTATCTATCGAAGAGCTAACAGGAACATCCCCTGAAAGATTCTCCATCAGTGTTTCCCCCAAGGAGACTTCCTCACACACATTTCCTTTGCTTTCCTGGTGCCTGGTGCTGTCTGAAACAAAGTCAAAATGTGAGCAGCCCTATTTCCCAGTCTCTGAGACATAAACTGACTTGAGCAGAAATCAAGAAAAATATAATAAAGTGTGAGCCCCAAAGAGCTGAGCACAAGGGAAGGGGCATCAGCTAAGAGCTCTTGACATGCACAGCCTAACCCTCTTTATAATTCAGACATCACACAGCAGCTGAGTGCAGTACCATGAGCCTCACAAGACCCATTATCTGGTCCTCCCTCTCCCAATCTACATGCCCTTCTTTCTTTGACTCTCAGAATGTCTGCTGAGTTCAATGCTAACCATCACTCCCAGAGTAATAACGGTTTATAAGTTAAGGTGACCATGTATATTCCGGTCAGAAATTCAAACGGTAAGAAGGAGCCTCCTTCCTGCTGTAGTGGATTAAGATCTGAAGCCATCTTTCTGACTGAAGTCACTTGGCAATGGAGGATACAAAGAACTGTGAGATGGTTTAGGGGACATATCTGTCACTGGTAAGAACCAAATGAGTCTTGGCTAGCTATCCAGTTCTACCCCTGATGCTCTATGACCCACTACAGTCTCTGACCTGGCCCTGGAACACAACAGTCAGAGGTGTGGTATGTGCTTTTCCCTCTAGGATTCTCCCCATGAAACTCAGAGGCATCTGTGAGAAAGCCAAAGCCAGCCCTTTAGAGATATAATCAGAAAAACTGAGGTCCACAGCCTCACCTCAGCTCCACTGAGAGCTGGTGTCATTGGGCAGCATGTGGGGAGACAACTGGGACATCTGTGTCCTAGGTAGGCCTCTGAATGAATATGGCTCTGTGGGTGTCCCTCAGAACCACCAAAAAGGAGTAGAAAGGCTACAGAGTTGAGCTTAGTCAATCTGTCAATCATTTTAAGTGTGTAGTCTTTTGGGTGACATGCTTTATAGGAGTTCATTGTGCTGCAAGAAATAATGAAGTGGCATTTTTTCCCTCACACAGCGGACAGGAAAATGATTCAAGTCAAAGCTAGAGTCTTTGCTGAGGCTAATAAAAGTGTAAGCGGCCCCACTCACCTTAAAAGAGAAGTGTACCCTTTTATGCACCCACCAGGCCCATATCACTGGGGAATCCAACCTTACCTGGCAGTTCTTCCACCGCACAAGGTTCCTCCGCCTCCAGCATGGAAGATGGACCAGTCTGGGAAAGCTGACACTCTGAGGTTTAGTGAGAAAAAAAAAGGTAAAGGAGGAACAGACAAAAAAGGCTAAGAGGCTTCATGTTTCATTGGGTCTCTGGGAAACAGACTGCAACTACCTTCTCTGCATCAGGACAATTCCTGTCCCGACCACTACCATAAAACCTGCCCTCTAAGTCAGAACCCCTGGAAAGCTGAGGATTCTAAAGAAGGCAGGAGAGGCAAAGAGGAAGATTTTATGTGAGGCCGGAGGCTACCTATGGAGCAGCTAGAAAATGGGGAATGTCTAGAGTGAGCAAAGTTGAAGGCTGAGCCCTAAATGGGCTCAGTAGCAGGGCAATCCCCAGTACCAGTGAAAGTAAAATACAGAACTAGAACCAAAATAAATAAATAAATAACCAACCAACCTCAGGAGCCTAGATAGGAGCATCCCTACAAATAACGGTTCCAGGGTAAGAACTTCAGTGAAAGACCATTCCCGAGGCCCAGCTCTGCACAAACAAGGTGAGCGTGCTAGAGGCTCGAAGTCAGGAGGCCTTTCCAAATCCATATTTTGAAGTTCTTAGAGGCCAGGGTTGCAAACAGAAAGCCCCAGATGGAACTTACAAATGTAGACCAGGATAGGTGGAGAACTTGGCAAACAAATTCTAATTCAAAGACACTTAAAACATATTCAGCTTCAAACACTTAAATCACCCTTGGTGTCCCAACTATAGTTCCTGGGACAGGGTCAGAATCCTCCATGCCAACAGTTCTGGAAGAGGGTGCAGGGTGGAACGTGAGCCAGTGGGAGGTGGGTCTCACCCCACAGGAGCAGCCTGCTGTAATTCATCAGGTTATCCTCTGTGGGATCCAGGTGGTCCCATTCCGACTGTAGAGGCTCCTGTGGAAACGAGAATGAATACTACAACAGCAGCTGGGACCCACCCTAAGCTGCACTAAGGCTTCCTTAGGTTCTACCCTTGAGGTTCCTCAAGGGCAGCGTTCTCAGCCACAGCACCAGAGACACTGGGCCCATAATCATTTGCTGTGCCAGAGTGTTAATACTGAGACAAGGAATAAAGTCAAAAGGGAAAGGCCATGTGAGCTGCTGGACAAGATCAGTCTCCCAGGGCCAAGTGGCCGGGTCACCCACCTTCAGTTCAGCTGCGGTAGAGCTGGCCTCTTCACTCTTTTCTCCCTCTGTATGCTCTCGATCCAAATGCACAGATTCCAGAGTAGGCCAGGATGGAAGAAGGGGAGCTGGGGAAATAAGTTCTCAGTGGCTCTGTAACTCCAAAATAAGTGTATCCCACACCCTCCTGTATAGGCCCCAGGACAAACTCAGAAAGAACCCCTCCTGCACACACAGGTTCCAAAGCTCAATGAACACTTAATTCATCTGTCTGCAACTGACAGAGCAGGGTGGACACAAAAGATAAAAACATGCAGACAGTCAAGCTCATCAGTGACCGAGAAATGCCCATTCAGATCACGAAGAAAGGACTCTTTTTTTGTGCCAACTAGATTGGTAGAAATGTTAAACAACAGAGCAAGTGGGCACCCTCCTATGTTGGCTTGAAGTATATCACAAAGGTTTTAAAGAATCACAGGAATGTTAGAGTGTGTGTGCCCTCTGGCCAGTGGTTGTTAGGAAACCATGCCACACACGCTAGAGTGCCACAGTAAGGCTAGGATACCATAGCCTATTTTAAGAAGCAAAATAAAAAGACTGAGTATACAGAATGCTCAGCAGCTGAGAAGCCAAAACTTTGATCACAGCTGCCGTCTTTGAATAACAAATGAGAGGGCACGAGTACACCATGGTCCCACAGACCTTCTGTACATATATGTGATGTACAGAAAGACATGAAAGGATATGTTCTATGTAATGGTTTGACTATGCTTGGCCCAGAGAGTGGTACTATTAGGAGGGGTAGCCTTGTTGGAGGAAGTGTATCACTGTGGGCGTGGGCTTTAAGACCCTCATCCCAGCTCCCTAAAAGCCAGTCTTCTCCTAGCAGCCATCAGATAGAGATGTAGAACTCTCAGCATCTCCTGCACCATGCCTACCTGGACACTGCCATGCTCCCACCTTGATGATAATGGACTGAACCTGTAACCCAGCCTCAACTAAATACTGTCCTTGTAAGAGTTGCCTTGGTCATGGTGACTGTTCACAGCAGTAAAACCCTAACTAAGACACTCTAGGATAGGGTAAAGGAGAAAAACAATTTTGGCAGTAGAGAGTGAGGTTTTGACTCAGAGCCTCATGCTGCTAAGAGGAAATATTCTATACTGGCATTGAATTATATCCACAATGAAATTATATCTTGGTTGATAACCATGTGGGGCTAACAAATTTTGTAAGGCAAATTGAGAAAAAATGTGTATCTAACATACACAAGAATCTACAGAAATAAGTCCCAACTGCAGTTCAGACATCCATGCCTTGCTACCTGACTTGCCCCTGGCTTTTATGCTGCCTCCACCAACCATATCCTCCCTTTCCCAACCACAGACTCCATGCACCTCCTCAGTGAAGGCCAGTCAAGGCAAGAGGATTGCTGCTACTTACAAGTATCACGGCGCACCAGGATGTCCCTAGGTCTTAAGTTTCTGTTGGGACTTAGCAACCCACATGGTAGAAGCAGAGGCTCAGGACACCTCTCATAGTCTCCCTCGCTGAATGACGACGATGACCCACCCGGGGAACACAACATCATTCCTGCGTACAATCAAGGCAATAGTGATTCCAATAGGTTGACACACAGCAAATCCACAATGGGCCAGATGTGGACCTAAGGTATAACCTGAGCCCCTAGGCTCCCAGAGACCATCACCACCCATCTCTCAGGCCCAACCCTTAGACATGGAGAAAACCTCCAGCTACCAATCCACCCAGAATATTTATCTAGTTTTTAAGAGCCTGGTACCTGCCTTTGATTGCCCTACATTTCTCCTCCTTCCTAACATCTGGAAAGCAAATGTGAGGGCAGGAACCCAAGGCAGTATCCTAGTCCATGAGGCAAGCCTGATGGAGATGCCACTGGGCACAGAGGTGGGGCCTTGGGTCCCTGGTGACTGAGGAGCTCCCTTACCAGCTCAGGGATGGTTGTTTCTGTGCCCCTTAACACATGGGGTGACTACACTCTCAGGAAAGCCACGGCTGGGGTCTGAACTCTATGTTGCAGATTCCAATCCTTCCAGGACCTCCTGCCCGTCTCCTCTAAGGCATGCTTTCTTCTGGGGTAGCAGCCTCACCTGGCTCCTCCAGGATGTCAGAGAGACCCTCCACCAGGGAGGCAGCTTTCTTGCAATTCTCAGGATACTGGGCTACCACCCAGGGACGGACCCTGTCTGGCAAGATGCCCAGGAACTGCTCCAGAACGAGCAGCTCCAGGATCTGCTCTTTGGAGCAGGCCTCAGGCCTCAGCCATTGGCGGCATAGCTCATGAAGCTTGGCCAAAGTCTGGTGAGGCCCAGCTGCCTCCTGGTAGACAAACTCCCGAAAGCGCAGGCGGGAACACTCAAGGTCAGCAGCAGATCTTTCAGTGATGGTTTCTGTTTCCTTCTGCTGTTCCTGTTGGTTGGATTGATCCTTCTGAGTAGGTTCTTCCAGTTGGCTGGGTTCCTCCTGCTGGCTAGGATCTCCCTGTTGGCTGAGTTCCACCTGTTGGTTGGATTGATCCTTCTGGCTAGGCTCTTTCTGGTGACTGGGTTCCTCCTGCTGGCTAGGTTGATCCTTCTGGCTAGGCTCTTTCCGTTGGCTGGGTTCCTCCTGCTGGCTAGGTTGATCGTTCTGGCTAGGTTCTTTCTGTTGGCTGGGTTCCTCCTGCTGGCTAGGTTGATCGTTCTGGCTAGGCTCTTTCTGGTGACTGGGTTCCTCCTTCTGGCTAGGTTGATCGTTCTGGCTAGGTTCTTTCCGTTGGCTGGGTTCCTCCTGCTGGCTAGGTTGATCGTTCTGGCTAGGTTCTTTCTGTTGGCTGGGTTCCTCCTGCTGGCTAGGTGGATCCTTCTGGCTAGGCTCTTTCTGTTGGCTGGGTTCCTCCTGTTGGCTAGGTTGATCTCTCTGGCTAGGCTCGTTCTGTTGGCTGGGTTCCTCCTGTTCACTGAACCCTACCTGCTGAATTGGCTCCTCCTGCTGGATGAGTTCTTCCTGTTGGATGGGCTTATCCTGCTCAATGGGCTCCTCCTGCTGGATGAGCTCTTCCTGTTGGATGGGCTTATCCTGCTCAATGGGCTCCTCCTGCTGGATGAGTTCTTCCTGTTGGATGGGCTTATCCTGCTCAATGGGTTCCTCCTGCTGGATGAGCTCTTCCTGTTGGATAAGCTTATCCTGCCCAATGTGTCCCTCCTGATGGATTAGTTCTTCCTGGTAGATGGGTTTATCCTGCTCAATGGGCTCTGCCTGCTGCATGAGTTCATCCTGCTGTACGGGTTCATCTTGCTGCATGGGTTCTTCCCATTGGCTGGGCTCATCCTGCTGCACAGGTTCTTCCTGCTGCATGGGCACATCCTTCTGGCCAGGTTCTTCCCACTGGCTGGGTTCTTGCACTTGAATAGATTCTTCCTCTTGACTGGGCTCATCCTGATGACTAGATTCTTGCTGCTCACTGAGTTCTTCCCCCTGGTTAGGAGGATTATCCTGCTTGCTGAATTTTTCCCTCTGGCTGGGCTCATCCCTCTGACTAGGTTCCAGCAGCTGGGTGGGTTCTTCTTTCTGGATGAGTTCATGATGCCTCCTGCATTCCTCCTGCCGGCTAGGTTCTTGTTGCTTAACGAGTCCTTCCCCCTGGCTGGGTTCCTCCTGCTGGCTAGGTTCTTCCTGTTGGGCTATATCTTCTGACCTCAGAGTAGATGGTTCTGGTTGAGGTGGGGAGCTTCTAGGGGAGGCTAACACCCTCTCCAAAGGCAGCATCTTCTCAGGCTACCACAGAAATTTAACTGTCTAGCCAAGAACTCAGCAAAGATGGCAAAGATACAGGGTAACCAGGAGAGGTCAGCAGTACCAGGACCTGAAGAAAAGCAAAGGACATCAACAAAACAGATGCCCACATAGTGAGACCCCAGCCCTGGCACATTCAGGGAAAAGAGAATGAAAGGGGGTGTCTGAGTACAACCATGAACCCACAATACCTAGGATTTATCCAGAATTATTTCTAAGCAATCTTCTTGCTACTGTCAGAATTCCACTTTTTTACTTGTATAGATAAAAATTAAAATAAAAATACGCAAGAGCAATTTTATATAAGATTGTATTAATAGGATTTCTTTTTAAGTCATGGATGAGATAAATATGAAAATCATCAGGACAGTTTCCATTATAAACCTAGATGAATATATCATACAATATCAGTAAATTCATTTTTACTATGTATATTGTATTCATGATGTAGGTCGTAGCACACCAAATCAGATTTATCCCCAAAATATAACATCACTTTAACGTCTAAGTCTGTATTATTTAGTTCCCCAAAACAAGAAGGATCTTAGTGCACCATTGTTCTTCCCATTAAAACTACTAGATCTCAGAGCTGGAGAGATGGCTCAGTACTTAAGGACACTTGTTGCTCTGGCAGAATACCCAGATTCAACTTCCAGCACCTACATGGTGCCTCACAACCCTCTCTAACTACAGTTCCAGGGCATCTGATGATCTCTCTCACCTCTAAGGGCATCAGGCATGCATGTATCACATGCATGAAGGCAAAACACTACCACACATAAAACAAAAAAAATCACCCAAACCCAGTATAACATTGTCCTCTGAAGAACCAACCATTCACTGGAACTGTTTTGGTTTTTTTCCTTCGAAAAATAACTGAGGAATTCAAAATAAAATCTGTCCATGACAACAGCTAACACCATCAAAAATATCACCACTGTCTCCCTACCGAACCCCAGCTTCCCCTACAGGTGCCTTTCTCATTTTTTACAGGCTGGACTCTGATGTGGTCCCTCAAGGTCCACAGTCCCAGCATGTTCTCTCTCACACACTTCTCTCATACTACTTCATATCTGCATACCGCTCGTCTCCCAGATTGAAACCTTAGCCCTAAGAGAGCAGGGCTAGTTACAGACAGGTCACTATAGGTTCAGCAGGTCTGGCTTCTGTATTTGTTCACTATACCTTTTATGAAATGTACTTCTTTATTAAAGAGCATGCAATGTATGTCTAATTGCCAATATGGAATCACATACCCGCATGCAATGTATGTCTAATTGCCAATATGGAATCACATACCCATCTTTCTGGAATCATTTAGGACCTATTTGAAGAATAAATGAAAGAACAGAATAGTTCAGCTACAGGGACAGCCTCACCCCTACCACCTACAATGGCAGTACCCATTCCTTTTTCCCCCAGCATCTGCACTGAGGATCCTTAGACCATCCACCAGTGCGTAGCATTTTCTTATGATTTCTTTATCTCTAAACTGCCTGTTTTCCTTATAGCTGTCAGGTAAGAGCTCTACCTGGCTCCATCTTGTCATCATCTGTCCCTACTTTCATCATCCAAACATTATGGCTTTAAACCTGTGTTTTAACCACTTCACATTCTGATGATTATTCTTGTCAAATTCAACTATTTTAAAAATAAATTTCCAGTTTCCAAAATCTGCTTTACTTTGGGTTTCCTTCACTACCTCAAGTTTAAAAATACATTCTCTCATTTACGCTCCTAGAACAAAGGTAGCAATATAAGGCCTCAGATAACAGTTTAAGCCCTTGAGGTTGTCTTGATGGTGACTACTCACCTTTGTCCTATCGCAAGGCAGCCAGAGCCCTGACATGTTTCTATACTACTTCCTTTCAGCCAGCCTCCAGGTTGATCTGCCAACCCCTATTCTATGATCTTTTCTTTACCCACATTCTACCACGGGTTCTTCTAGAGCATCTTTTGATACAGAGTGTAATGTCAGCCTCAGCGAGACAACACAGCCACAAGGCTCTGGATACAGAACTCTATGTAACAAATGAACAGTTATGTGGGCACATAACTGCTTTCTTTACACATCAGGCACGTTCATCCTCCACAGTACTTGTGTCCACAAAGTAACAAGTTTATCAAACCAGGCAGTCTCAGGGACTCCTGCCATCTTGGGAGTCTCACAAGCCTCTAAGGGTAGAGAAAGAACAAACCCAAGGGGTAGTTGGGAAGAACACTCACAGACTGGGTGAGTGCTGGGCTCAGGACATCCTTCTTGCTCCAGATTCCTCATGAAGTTCTCCCTGCCTAGAACCCCTAACTGGCCCTCCCCACATCCACTTCACCACTGGGATCATCACATAACCATCACCTCTGCTTCTTTTCAGGTGGCACAGCAAGCCTTCAAGCAACTGTCTGGGATCCATCTCCTCCTCTACCTGCCCTGCTCTGAACACAGAAGAGGTATGAGGCCCAGCAACACAAACGACTAAGTAGAAGCACAGAGAAGCCAATAGCCTAATCATTGGAGGATCCTTCCTATTCCATAGGAAGGAACCATATGTCCCAGTTTCCTTTGCCTGAAAAGAAAACTCCTATGGCAACAGGAGGCAACAGCCTGACCTGCACAGCCAGAGCCACCCTTCATAATGAATCTCTGGGAGTCAGGACCAGGGGAAAAAGACCACCCTGAGAATCTCAAAAGACCTGTAGTCCTAAGCATACTTTACTTGCTCTACCTTGCCCTAGACCTGGTTACACTGCTACAAGGACTTGCCAGGCAGAAGACCTAGTGAGACCAAATAGCCTTAAATGAAGCCACACTCCCAGTGCAAATAAGACAAGAGATTGCGGTACACCATGATACAGAATGACTCCACCACTTCATGGCTTCCCGAAAGTTCTCTTGGACGGGTTTTCCTGGAGTCCAGTCCACAGACTTCAGGAGACGAACAAGTATGGGTCAAGCAGGTGTTGTGGGTTGTATTCTAGGCCTGAAATGCTGAAGCTAAGAAAAGTGGGTGAGTGAACAGCTGAGCTAGGGGAATCCCAAGAATCCTCATTACAACTCTTGCCTTAGCAGAAAACAAATCCACCCTCTCAGGCCCTGTAAACCTTCTCTAACCACTAGGATCTGAACACTAATCTCACTGGGACATCGGAAATTAACCACAGTCTCCCCTGTACTCACACAGATTAACATATATTACAAAAAAAATACAAATGTACCTTTAAAAGAATGCAAAAGCACACACAATGGATAATTATTAAACTAGTTGCTTTCTGTGGTCTCTGCCAAGAATATACTCTATATTCTCAAATGAGACGACACAGAGTCAAGCAGATGTCCTAAACAAACTGACCTGGGTAAAAAAAAAAAAAACAAAAAACACCTCAAAATCACAGACCCAAACATCAAGAGAAACAAAGGCTCACTGCAATAGTGGGCCCTGTTCTGGCTCCAGAGCAGGAGAGAGACCCTCCACAGGACAGTGGCAGAATGTGGAAGGAAGATCTTGTTTGTAACATCCACTGTGGCCTCTGAGAGGCTGGCTGAGATACAAACCATCACAAGGGAGGGGAGGATTGAGCACGGAAGCAGTGGAGGAGTAAAAAAAGAAAAGGCAGGGAACCAGGACAACACTAACAGGTAGACTCTGGACACAGGATAGGAAGGATTTCTACGACCTTGGGATTGTTCTGTATAAGAGCCATCCCGCAGTGGTCCACAACACCCCTTACCTGCGCCTTCATAGAGTAGCACTGGGAAAACTAATGTTCTCTATTCCTCTCCAAGTCCTCCAGTTCAGGACAGCACCTAAAACACACCATTTTCACCTCTCTTCCGTGAAAGGGGTCCCTACACAGAGGCCCCAAAATGTATATCCCCATAACAGAGTGGACCCATGCACCCATAATGCTCCTCAGTCCAGTGGAATCTCTCCTAGAACCCTCCACCATTTTCCTATTCTCCCACCCCCATGGACCTACGGATACCCTCAACCCTGTCTCTCCAGGACACAAATACGGGGTTCCCAAACCCTCCTTGGCCTTTATACGCTCATCTTTCCCATCTGTGGATTTCCCATCCCTACCAAAACTGCACCCACCTTCACCTAATGCCCCCCTCTCTTCCTCTGGTGCAGTCTCCTACCCTGAAGGGTCCGGTGGACTCTACCACAATCTGCATCTAAGAAGCAGTAGCAATGGGCCTTCACCCAGTCAGGATCTCTTAACCTCGCCCCCTGTCTGTTGCACACCTTGAAACCACACCCCAGGACCCCAGCACATCCTACGTGTCCTCCAGATCCCCTTTCCAACACAATACTAGCGTACTGCATTACCGAGCCACAATCCCACACGTGGTACTCCCCATGCCACACATTAGAGCCACACCTCCGATCCTGACCCATCCCACGCCACACTCACACGACGCCCGCCCCGCTGCACCTTGCGTCTCTACAGTCGCCTACAGTGCTCTGGGGCCACACCCCCACCCAAAAGTCTTAAGGCCTCCATCACGGCTGGACACGTGGGAGCCATCAGTCCTGCCCTCCCGGTCCCAAATTCAAGCCCAACCCAAGGCCACATCCCCACGCAAGAGCCTTTAGCTCCCCTCCAGGGCACAGCATCTGGGGCCACACTCCCACGGTGCGTCGCCCAGGATCTCAACTCCTGGTCCAGCCCACACAAGGTAGGTCCATCCCTCCACCGGATCCTGTACACCAGCCGAACACCTACGGCCCGGCGTAGAAGGCTGCCGGGCGGCCCGACCCACCTGCTGCGCAGCGTTGCCCCACGGGCTCCCGCAGCCTCGAACATGGAGCGGCGATGGCGGCCTGCTGCAGTACGCGTGCGTGGCCTGCAGCGCCGTAAACTGCGACCCCCAGCGTGCCGCGGGGCCGTTCGCCAGACCTGGGCGGAGCGAAGCTGCTGTGACCGCACCGCCAGTCAATCAGAGAAGGCTGGCTCCGCTTAGCCTCCACGTG